GAATAATTTATATATATGAATGTACCGCTATAATGATGGTAACGATGGTGAGTTTGTCTTTGAGNATCCAATCTTCCAAATGTCTAGTCTTGATCAAACTAAGAAGCGTGCATTGAAGCGTACCAAAAATCGATAAAATAACGGTACTCGAGAATTGACAAGGGTATTTCATGTTGATCTTGGCTTGTATAAGCATCCAAGAACTCAAAAATATAGCTGATGTTAATAAAAGCAGACAACCTTTAATCCAATTATGATCATGGTTTGTGTGATTGTTTGAAACTGTTGCTTGTTCTTGAGAGTGAGTCAATGGAATGCCTTGGTATATCGCAAAAACTAAAGCTGATCAGAGTTCCAAGAACAACGCCGAATCCTACTTTTGTTTTCATATTTAGCTTTCCAAACCTACAAAAATTTAGCGAAAAAGAAAAAAAAATGTAAGTTTTATACGCTTTAAAAGATAACATAGAGGAACACTGTGATTTAAATAATTTTAAAAATCCTGTGATTAAGAACAAATGTACCGAAATACTAAAGCCATAGCGAAAGTGAGGGCAGGCATTATCGCCGTGAAAGCAGTAGCTAACGTCGCAGAAGTGTAGGAGAGTCCATTTAAGTAAAAATATTGCATTAAACTCATCCTGAAAAAAAAACAATATAATTAAAGATGAAAATCATACTACAACCGAAATAATGAAGATGAATTCTTACACAAAGACTTAAATATTTCCTCCGTTTCAAAATGTAAGTTGTTTAAACTATTTTTTTTTTTCAAAATATAAATTGTTTTGACAATACTATGTACTTTTTAACTTTATTGAATATTGTGTGATCACTCATATTTTACAGTCTTTTATGTGATTGGTCAAATTATTTTTGTTAAATATATTAAATGATACTTTTTAGTAGAAAAATAGTTTCTTAATATGCGTGCTTTTAAGTAAAACAACTTACATTTTGAAACAGAGGAAGTAGAATTAATTGAGAGTTAATAGAAAAAATCTGAAACCTACCCGAAAAGAGCACTAACCAAAAGCTGACACGAGATATATATATATACTTTTTTGGTCACAACTTTTATAGATAAGCTTATCCTCCATAAAAGGAGAAATTGTTCACAATACAAGATGAAAAAGCCAAAATGGCCAAAAGATTAGCTAAGGAAAGAGAAAACAAAGGATAAGTGAAGGCTAAAACAAAGCCTTGGAAATTAGTGAACACATATAGTGACCTAAAGTCCACAATTGAAACAGCAACAAGTGCACAACTAACAATTGCTAGATCGGCAATAACAGCATATAAGACCCCAAGTTGCTGAATCGTTGAATTGAGCAGAACACGAAGTCTCTGAGCTCGTTAACACATTACTCCCTACATCAAACCCACACAAAGGTGGAAATAGGAGGCGAACCTTCTCCATAAAGGAGAAAAGCGGACAATGAGTGTGCAATAAATCCCGATTCACGGGTAAGATAGAGATATCATATACTAAACTTCTAAATTGCCACAGATTGATACAAATCAGCCATAATAATCCAGATTCGACACTACATATCACAGTACAAGATCGCACAGGCGATAGCAACAAGAAAGACTAGACACACACTAATATAACCCTCAATACGAGGTAATATCGAAACATATCGGTTTTAACAAGAGAAATACACAAGCAACAAAATACATGACAACCTAGGGGAATAAGTCTCTGGTTTTGTCCCTACAACTACAAGTCTAAACTTGTCTTCATCGATAAGCCATCCAATGAGCTTTATAAGTATGTGAATACATACCGGAGAGCGCTCTATGCCAAAAGAAGATTGTGATTCAACCTCAAAACTGCAAGAGATGTCAAATCTAAGGACACGGTTGATGGAACGAGGAGCCATAGCTAGCAGTAACATCTCCATAAAGGAGTAAGTCTCCATAAAGGAGTAAGGTTTGCGAGGTTTCGATCTGCACACGATAGAAGAAACTCGGCTCAGAACAAGAGCCATGTACGTCTCTAGCCAATGTAAGTCTGGCGGATCTGGTGGATCCGGCGGTTGAGGCAAAGCTACAACCGGGAGAGGAGTCGAGAAGACAACAACATCAATCGGACTAGGAGCAGGGGACGCGTCAAAAGGACCAGAAAACCACTCCCTAGTTGACACGAGATATTTATGGTTACTTTCGGTCTTGTTTTCCTGATCAAATCATGAAATCACTAAAAATATAATAAAATTTTTTTGTTTAGTTAATTAAACATTAAGGAAATGTAAAAGTTGAAACTGAAACAAAATTATTGAAATTAATAAACAAACCTACCGTTCCCAAAAAGAAGCGATTGGAAAAAGAAAGAAGGTGGAAATACCCAAACGATAGGTAGCAATAACCATATGATTAATGCCTTCATCAAGAACTTTCTTAATCAAAGCGCTAACCATTCCCGTACTCATGTTTATCACAATTATCATGATCAATGGTGCCCATTTTCCATA